CACCTCCACCCCCTGGAATGGGTGCACCCCCTCCACCATTTCCTGGCATGGGTCCCCGCATGCCGTTTGGGTCCTCTGCTCATGTGTTACCTCCTGGTGTTGCTCCGAAGAAGAAATATAAACAGGACGTGCAATTGAAGAGAGCAAACTGGAATAAGGTTTGTGCCGTCAGCTGGCCATTTTCCTTACCATTGTGGTTTTCACCTGCCTGCTTGGCTGTTTTGTGGGAAACAAAACCGCAAGAGGAATGGGAAGGAGCATGAGAAGTTCTCCATTTGGACTTTCAGTTATCATTTTCGCTCCTCTGTCCTCCTAGCATATGTCGAGCGCTTGAAGACGGGTTGTCGTCTTATTTTAGTATTCACTGTCATTTTTTGCCATAATTATGTCAGTCACTGATTTTCTATCGTTACAACCCCGTATCATTCTTTTCTCGTTATTTTATAGAAGTAAAAGTTTTATTTTACCTACTTCATGTACGAGAATAGTGTTAACAAGGCGTGTCCCAATTTCCAGATACAATTCTGTGGGGCTATATATCTCATTTAGTAGAATAAAAGCGAACACGAAAACCATTAGTTGTTGCGACTGCAAGCTGTTGCTTCCAGGCCAACTCATGGACATCACATGTCAGTTTGGTCAGGTGATCGTATTAACTCTGTGCTTTGATCTCCATTGCTCAGATTAACATGAACAATTTCACAGAAAATACATTTTGGGCAAAAACGAAAGAGGAGAAGCTGGAGAAGCCTGGACTATTTGATGAGCTGTCGAAGGCGTTTGCCGCAAAAGGCGGTCCGAGAAAGACAGAGAGCGGTGACGGAATGGAAAAGAAAGCAGCGGCTAAGAAAAAAGGCAAAGATTTAAAGATTATCGATCCAAAAAGCGCACAGAACTTATGTAAGTGTCGCAAATGTTTTGTCCTAATTTTGTTGTAGTTTACAATGTATATAACGTGCCCTCTGGTTGGGTAGCAGCTTCTTCAACACGAGCTCTGATTGGTTCTGTAGTATTTCCCTGTTATGCCGTCTGATTAGTTACCCAGTGAGTTAGTTGTACCGAGGAAGTTGATGGCATGTTTCATCTTCTGCTCTGGACTTGCATCTTAATTAGTAAAGATATGCTTTGTTCGTCTTGCAGCGATTTTCCTTGGCTCACTTAAATTAGCACATAAAGAGGTCAGGAAATTGATCATGAACTGTGATCAGGTGGTTTTGACGGAAAGCGCCGTAAACTCACTGCTGAAGTATCTTCCATCGCCCGATCAGGTGGGGCCAAGAAACGAGGGAGTAGAAGGGAAAACGAACGAGGGATCGAACAAACGAACGAGGGACCGAACAAAGGAACGAGGGACCGAACAAACGAACGAAGGACTGAATAATAAAACGAGCGACCGCACATACAAATTAGGGACCGAACAAACGAACGAGCGACCGAACATACAACCGATTGACCCGCCGGCTAAACGAACATACGAATGACCTACCGATGAAACGAACGATTGACCGACCAGCGCCCGGTGATTGACTGACCTGTCGATGAAAGAACGAGCAAACGAGTGAACTCTTCGTCTATATAAAAGTGTTTCCAATATTCAAATAAAGTAGATAGAGGAGTATATCTAAACTCTCAGCGAACTTTCTCTCTCGTTTTAGATGCAACAGCTCGGAAATATGAAAGAAAGCTTCGACGATCTCAGTGATCCTGAACAATTCGTTTGCCTGGTAGGTTGTTTCAAGGGATCATCGTCTGGAAACTTTAACGTACCTTTGTAGCTATTAACTTCACAAAACTCACGTCAAGGCATGTAACAAGAGCTAAACGCGGGTAAATAAACGCCCTTTCTTAGGCGCGGGAAGATATTGCAATTCGCAGTGAAGGGTGGAAAGTCATTTATTGGCGGGAAACTCGCGCAGTCTGCTTGATTTATTTCATTCTGATTGCTTTTTAAAAGGATTGCTATTTTTCGATTGGCGAAATAGGCAGGATTTTTGTTTTCCGAGTAAATTCAAGGGCTTCCACCTCAGAAGTGTTACTATGGTGTGGACCAGCAGTTTTGTTCTAGACTGGTTTGAAAGCTTGACTCTTATTTTCTGTTCGATTTCCAGCTGAGTGGTATTAAAAAATTGGAACAAAGATTGAACATGATGCTTTTCAAGAGGAAGTTTCCTGAAGAAATGCAAGATATTAAACCGGTAAGTTCTTGCCCAGAGCTGAAAGTAAGAAAAGGAAATCTTTGCGGCGCTGAAAAACCAAGATTAATTGAGAGATTTTTAACTTGACTTTGTCGTTATTACAGTGTACCTAGAATGAAGAGAAGGAAAGCGCACTTCTTGGCCTCAATTTCTCTAGGGAGAGGGAGGGACGATTCGAAGGATCGATGTAATTGACAGCGTGAAAACTGTCGTTTTTCTCCATTAGGGGAAATGTCAAGGTGATTTAGAGTAGTCGGTAAATACCATTTTGTACAATTTCTAATCTTGTGTTTCTTTTCGCAGAATGTTGTAAATGCAACTGCCGCATGCAGAGAAGTAAAAACTAGCCCCAAATTTTGCAAGTTCCTTGAACTTGTTCTTCTCATGGGCAACTATATGAACGCTGGATCTAGAAACGAGGGATCGATGGGATTTGAAATGAACTATCTCACCAAGGTGAGCGAGCTTCATGCAGACTTCATGTTGTTTTCTTTTTTCTACTAAAGAACCCTACGCATTTTCAACTTGAACTGCCAAGGGGGAAACGGGAGAATTCCAGTCACCCGGCAGTAAATGGCTTAGAGGGTTTTAAGGGACATGCCTGTTCGTACGAGTTAAGGGAGATCCGGGAAAATCATTTATTAGCTAACGAGGCTCTTCTGTTCTTCAACGTAACATTTAAACACCAGTATCAAAGCAGCGGGGAGCGCAGTGGCTCAGTGATTAGTGTACTGGACTCCAGTGGAGAGAGGTCTGGGTTTTAGACATGTCCGGGTCATTGTGACGGTGTTCTTGTGCAAGGCACTTTCCTTTCACAATGCACCCAATGTACCTAAAAGGGTACCGGAGAAATATCAGAAAAATCTTTTGAAGTGCTGTAGGGTAATTTTGCGATGTACTGGCAACCCATCTAAGGGGTGGGGTCGTTTTACTCCCAGTCACTTCATGCTATGGAAATCGGGATAACATCTCCGCTTTAACGCACGACCTGGCTCGAGTAAAGACTTCTACCAAAGCCGCATTGAAGAGATTTGTTATTTTGGGTCTCTTACTAAGGCGAGGTGACCTTCGTATCGTATACCGACATTATTTTCAGTATCACACCAGGAATTTACCATTATTACGTTTTGACCACCATCCGTGTAATAGGAGTTGGTCTGGTTTGCCCTCTTCCCTTAGTGCAGGTGTTTCACGACGATTTTATAACAACACTTGCGCTAGGAAGAGGACCCAAAACGCCTCACTCTTTCGGGAAAACTGCCGTACTCTTTATATTTGTTTAAAATTTTTAGCGTTGAAGTCAATTTCTTAATTTTAGGAAGCTGTTTATTTTCCTTTGTACTTACCTCTGTAATCCTCTTGGTAACACAATGCTTGAGTTGACTGATGTTTTACATCGTTCTCTGTTTTTCAGTTGAGTTCAACTAAGTCTGTGGACGGTCAGTTGACTTTGGTTCATTTTCTGGATGACACGATAGAAAAAAAATATCCCGAAATTTCGGGTTTTGAAAAGGAGCTGACACACGTTGAACAAGCTGCTAGAGGTGAGAGGTCGCTTGTCACGTCACGCAATTCTTTGGTTAGGTAGGCGTGTCATGCAACGTGACAGCAAAACGTCTTCCAAATAACCCTTTTACTACCAAAATCTACTTAATTCTTCTCTCTGTCTGCCATACAACTGTCATCATATTACCTGAAGTTCGGAGAATTTGTTATTGGATCAACTAACAATGCCCAAACTGATATAATTATTTTCTTTATTCTCATCACTTGTCTATTTGATGTTGTATTAATATTTTAAGGAGAAATTCTGTCTTGGTCACTTATGGGAGTAAAAAGGGTTAAAGGAAGATGAAAGTAATGGACTCTTGCACGGTTTAATTACCTGTTACGTTCATGAGTGATGTTGAACAAAGAAAATAAAGGAGTCAAATCTTAACAGCTTAGAAAAATCGGATCAGTATCAGTATCTGGGTAACTGCCCACCTCTCCTAACCCAACACTAACCCTAACTTGTTATCAATAGACTGTTGTTGAGTTAGGGGAGGGGTAGGTGGACAGTTGCCCAGATACTGATATTGATCCGAAAAATCCTAGTGGAAAAAAAAAGACGTTCACAGGTTGGTCGGCCAAGTTAAATTCGTATGATGAGTAAATTACAACATGATGACTTACAATAGGGTCAATGAAAAGTCGTTTTAAATGGGAAAACTTGAACGTAACTGAATGTGGATCAGCTGCATGTTTTATCTGTGGAAAGAGTATTGAATTGTACCTTAAGCTTGCCGACTCGATGTTCCGATTTACCTTTTAAGGCGCCATATTGAAATGGTAAGATGGAGGAAAGCCTGATACCAAAAATTGCACGAGGGAGGCGGGAGTAAGAAAGACAAATTAGTGAGGGGGGAGGGGCTTAGGAAAAATTTCTTCGAACCCACGCCCCATCCCTCCTTCTTAGTTTTCACGCTCCAGGCTTTCCTCGATCTCACCAATTCAATATGGCGACCTCAACATCTAGATGTTAAGCATCCGCTTGCAATAAAACACTCCTGATGTGCATGCTACTCAGCCTTCTGCCGAGCTCCTTAAAATCTTTTGTCACAGAATGTGGGATTTCAAAGCGTGCAAAGTGGAGATGTCTTGATGCCAGTCCTTTGATAATCAGGCTGTTACGAAGTGTTGTCCTGTTAGAGTTTTTTTTTTTTTTTAACAATCCTTTTACTCTCCATGTTTAGTATCGGAGGAAATTCTTCAGAAATCAATAAACAGCATGCAGGGAAACCTCAAGAAGCTCGAAAAAGAATTGGAAACCTATAAACCGCACAATGATCCAGAAGACAAGTTTCTACCGGTCATGGAGATATCCTTTTCTATGTGACCTTTGTTGTAGTAGTGTTAATATTGCCATTTGCCGCTGATATCTTGCGCCAAATTTTTCATTCGTAGGACGTTTATCTCATAAAATTCATAACTATAGACCCATAATAATTATGAAAATCATGTTTCACCGTTGCGAATTCTATTTTATGCGTGTTTGTCGAGAAGTAGAATTTTTTTTCTTGTTCCCGAGAGATTTTAAGCACAACACCCCGATCAACGGGATTTGCAAGCGTCAAACGTGGAGATAGATCCTTGTAATGAATTCTTGGATGAAAAGAGATTGTTTGCGAGAGATTTCTTTGACAATACTCACGGCTTTTATAAAAGCGCCAAAGACCAAATAGATGTCCTGGTTGAGATGCACAAAAACATGACCACAATGTACAAGGAGCTGGTGGAGTATTTCTGCTTGGATACCAAGAAAACTTCCATGGAGGAATTCTTCGGTGACATCAAAACCTTCTTAGACTGCTTTGAGGTAAACGAAAACGGACATTTTGCTGGTTAGTTTCCAGTACTTTTGAGTCCTCGTGCTTTTATTGTATTAGATAATAGATGAAGGTCGAGAACTTAGTGAAAACGGAAAATTGGAATTTGGGTGGGTTGGAGAATGGTTTGAATGGTTTTTTTTTTAACGAGTGTAACGCGAAGCGTGGTAACCATTTTTTTTCCACATTGAGAATCCAATATGCAAATGTGTCACTCACTCACTCAGGTGTAGACACTGTAGTAGTTAGTCGGCCCGAACTCAAGAATGCCCGAGCAATCTCACGAAGTGAGACCGGAAATACCACGGGGTGAACTTGAGTTCTTTTAATCAATCTTCACGTTGTACACGCGAATTTTCATCTTCAAAATTATTTTTGCGGTTTATTATTTGTGGCTTGGTGAGTTGTCTTCTTGCTGAGTTATCTCAGCTGAGGTAACCTATGTTATTTGTTGATATTGTAGAACGCGAAAAAGGACAATGCAAAACGAAAAGAGAAAGAAGAAAAAGATAGAAAGGCAAGAGAACGAGCGGTAAGGTTTCGTTCTTTGTTAGAGCGACATGACTCTTGTTACACTTTCTTTGAATTACTTTGTCTTTGAAATAAGACGCAAAAGACTTCACTTTCAGGCAGGCTTTTGGGTTTTTTGTAGGCCTGAGTTCCCCTCTCATCGCTTCTAGCTCAACAATAAGTTTCCTAGTCTGTTGACAGCCGTTTCACTGCGCGATGCGAGGGTGTAGCGTGAGGAACCCTCGCGTGTTCGCTTTCGCTGTCGCGTTTGCGTTTGTTTCCGCGTTCGTTTATGCGTTTCCGATCGTGCTCCTGGTATTCCACGCGGCTCATATTTTGCTCGCGCTCTGAACACTATTAAAAGAGGAAAACAGAAAGTTTTTGAACAGACCATTTGTCTCTTCTTGGACTTCGAAAGGTCTTGTACCGCTGGTGAGTTTGATAAACAGTTGCCTCAGAAGTGTGCTCGCACTGCCTGAAGTTCTAAAGAAGTTTATTTCTTGCATTTCAGGAAAAAGAGAAAGAAAAGAAGAAGAGAGCGGAGGCTGAGAAATCCAAACGAAAGCCTGTTGTGGATATAAATGCAGGTTTGTGGCAAGCTCGTGTTTTCGTTAGAATATTGTAGCACCGCTTGGCAAACTGGAAAAGTGATTGATTATCATAAATTTTCCGTTCTTTGTCAATGCGAACAGTGCTAACTGTCTGTGATTCACTTGCTTTCCCGCGCTAGGTACATGTTACTTGTTTAGTTCCTTGTCCCTTAGCCTTTTGACATGTTATTTAGCTTCTTTTCCCTTGAATACTTTTTATTCCTCCGAGCAAATGTGTTAAATGTTGTAGTTGACTGTGGCTTTTATCAACCTTTTTAACTTCAAACATGTTAATGATAATTCCTCTACCAGCTTCCTTAGACGAGAAAATCTGGACTTTATCCCGAGAAACCCACACACTGACGAGTTCGTCTGTTCATAAAAACTCTTTTGCTGTATAATGTGTTGAAGTTGTGGGGAATAGTTACACTTTCATCAGTTCAGGGATTTCTGATATCGAACTCGTTGCTTCTATCAGATTTTTCTGGCGGCATTATTATTGGTTATCTTTCACCCCTTGAAATAAAACGAAAACTGAAATATTTTTTTCTTTGTTGCAGATGACGATCAAGAAGGAGTGTTAGATGGTCTCATGGAGGCGCTCAACACAGGATCTGCCTTCAGAGATCCGACCCGACCCGCGCGCAAAAAGGCGGGAGGTAAAAAAGGTAACACAATCTCTTTGCAACGCAAATCTGTAACGCCAGCTTTACCGTCACGAAAATGTCACGCACATCACTAATGTTCTCTTCCATCTTTTCAGCTCGACCTGTGGACTTACGCCGGTCACGGACTCGCACAAATATACCTGTTCAGAAAATAATGGAGGCTCAAAATGCTGTCGACGGGCAGCACAATGCAGTAGATATTAATATCGATGATCAGCCCGTCGCTCCTTCTAGACGGAAAAAAGATGACAGGCGAGGAGGAGGAGAGAAGAGCGGGGAGGGCCTTGAAGATGAAGCGCAGGACATTTTGGAAAGATTAAAGAAGTTATGAGCGTTTCAAGATGAGAGGAGGTTTTTCGTGGGACAGTGCATCATGTATTGTACTCTAAGTGTAAACAAAAACTGCAGCCCAGGCAGGAATTTCTCCTATTTGTTTTTGAGAGTTCATTGTGATTTAAACCACGATGTGTTAACTGCAACTTTGGGTAAAATGTGTTTTTGACGCTCATCGAAGCGATGGCGAAAATTAAGAAGTGAAGATGATTGGAAATGTTATGAAAATTCGATTTCACGAAACACGGAAATTTGTTTAATTCCAAACGACTGACTGCAAGGCTGATTGATGCTGTAAATGCAAAAAAAGTGGAAAACGTGTAACCTAACAATGTGCGTCACATTCCGATAATCTTAAAATGTATACTGCTTCTGAGAATCATTTATTTCTAAGTTTTCATCACCGCAGTCATGTACAAGGCGTAAACGCCGATAAATTACGTACCACGTCGTCTATGTTCCAGTGTACAAAAACTTAAAGAAAAGAGTCAAAAGCTTATGTAGCCAGTATGTTCTTCCTTACTTGCATACACATATCATAGCAACACTAATTTTGGTTTCCAAAGTGATTTGCCGACATAGTTTTGATGTCTTATGGTGAAAATTTTTGGTTGCTTGTTCAATATTCAATAATTACTTTAAATTGACACACCAAACTAGGTGAAAGCGGAATGGAGTGTATCATATCTAGGCCGGGCAATGTGAAATGTACATTATTAATCGTGGAGGGGTATAGTTTGGTCTTTAAGTAAGATTCATTTAACGAATATTTGTGTAAGGGCGGAGCCGTAGGGGGATCTTCTACAATCCCCTCACCCACCTGAATTGACACGTCTCCGTAATCCTTGGGTTTTTGCTTAGTTTGGTATATCAGAGCCACGGAAAACTTTCTGTTTTTATCAGTTGCTTAGCTCTTTGAATTTTATTTAAAGAGTTATGAAGATAATTTGAAAATAAGGACAAAAAATGGTACATTTTGAAAGAGGAGCTTAGGCATCTTTATCACTCCTTGCGTTCATGTGAAATACGTGTTGTGCAGGTCGCATCGCGTGATTTTATGTCACGTGCCTGTTCTCCTCTTTGTTGAGTCACGTAACGAGTGTTCCCGGTATTACGTAACGACCAACGTGGAAAGTCTGCAATAGATTGGGTTGAAACAACAGCGAAGCACCGATGATTACAAACAATGCTTCTCAATCGAAATATTTTCGCTTATGTTGTAAATGTACAGCGATTCCGTAAATTTTAAACTCAAGTGAGTCTTGTATTCCTGTACAGAGGTAAAATTGCATTAATGTTGAATATGAATAAAGCAAAAACACGATAATTAATGAATTGTCTTTTGCTGCAACGAGCAGTTTAAGTTCTTAAACGAGGTTCTGAAATCACGATTTCCGTTTTTAATTTATAAACCTTTTGACGACCAGGATCTACAGGGGGCTGTAAGGCGTGGAAAACGTAGGAAACCCCCACACCCGATTAGGATTTTTCACGTAGATCCTAGTGTATGTTTCGAACATGTTCGTGTATCCTATATACTTTTTAAAGTTTCATTTAAAGGCTGTCATTTCTGGTTTGTCTAGTTTTCAATTCTACTGAGAAACATACATGCCGAAGTATATATATTTCTTCGGTTGTTTTATTAGCATCTTGCATTGCCAACTATCGAGCGCTAGTTAATTTCTTGAGGTGTTTATTAGGGTGAATTAGAGTGAATTTGCATGGGTGTACAAGAAGGGCCATTTCATATCCTTGTTTCCAATCACCTTTTAGTTACACTTCTAGACGGCACGGTCGTAAAATTGATATCCCCAGGATTCTGTCTATTTTAATGCCTTTCCGCCCTCTGAAAAACAGAAGTTTCTTTGATACCGACTTAACGTTGCAGATACATTTGCACAGCTTGGTATTCACTTCGACACTTTGCCTGGTTAGATTGCGTGACGAGCTTGTTCGCTCAAAGGTTTCCGACCACAGAGTTAGGGTGAGGAGATCAAACACCCCCAAAAAATACATACACCTACAAACTTTCAGATCAATTAGCCGTTAATTTCTGTAATAATCAATTAATGCCAATTGTTTACGACGGGGGATTCCCTTATTAGGGTACTAAAGCAGATTATTGGTTAATTACGTTAGTGACGTCAGTTATTATGTAATTTTCGTCGTATTTGTACGCGAGCAACACAATTTTTCGTTCTTTCTCCCGGACTTGTCACTTACTTGTCTCGAGCACAGAGTTGTCTCAATAAATTGACCGGATTTGACCCAAATGTAAGTACTTGATTTTCTTAAAGCGAGGTAATGGTTTCAGTTTATCATGCACAGCAGATTAAGGCCTGGCCGAAGGTAAATTTTGCCGTAAACCATTCCTGATGAGATGTCGATTTCGAAGCTACATCCGGATGCGAAACGTTCCAGAATGGATTGACTGAAACCAGACACTCCTAGAGTTTCCTTGTGAAGTCTTCGATAGAGAGGGAATTGAAATTTTTTTTCTTAATTTCTTTTCTTTCTCCACCTTTGAAAAGAGGTCGTACCGAGCCGATGAAGGTCTCAAGGTCATGTAGGCCGTGAATGAGGCCGTGTGAAGCTCATGGGGCGTTTTCCGATTACTCCGCACCAAAGCGGGCGGCCTTCGAGAGAGAGAAAGTCGCGCCAGGGCCATATATGTTTATTAATGTGTCATTCTACCTAAGAAAAAAGGCTTTTTTCACTTTTCTCTCTCTAGATGGCCGGACAAAAGAAGAAACTTCACTTCGTGGAAAATTTTGGACTGAGTGGTGCTGCAGCAGTTATCTCCAAGACAGCAGCCGCCCCTATTGAACGAGTGAAACTTCTTGTTCAAAACCAGGATGAGATGATAAAGGCTGGGCGACTGGATACACCTTACAAAGGCGTCATAGACTGCACTGTCAGGACCTACAAAGCAGAAGGAGCTATTTCTTTTTGGAGAGGTAAGTACTTTGTATCGATATTGTTGTTACTTTTCTTGTTTGCTGTCGCTGTTTTTTTTTAAGCAGCTCTTCTCTGATGGCAGTTGATGTGAGATGATCTGAGGAGAAATTAGATGCTATTCATTCTTAGGGGCTAAAGGGTTAAGATTTTGGGAACATGTACCAGAATTTCACAGATCAGGGCTTGATGTAGACTAAAAATATTTTTGGTGGGCCTGCATAGAGGACTTCACAGCTTGCTGTCGGAGGAATTTGTCAATTGTTCTCTCATTGGAATACCAAAGCCATGATCAAGCTTACCTCCTATTCCTGTTACCTGGGCTTAATTGGAACTTAAATGACAAGATTTTTTTAAATTTTTATTTGCAAAATAACCAACACTCCAATTTACCAAGGATATATGAATTGTGGGACAAAGGACCACTCTTCAGATATATGTCTGCTGAAATCTTCTTTTTCCTTCTGTTATTGATTTATTTGATATAAAATTTTCCATGTTTTCTGCTTTATCAACGTATTTGTCACTGATTGATTTGTTTCTGCCTTGTAAATAAGTTGTTGGTGATATAACTTGTTTTCTTTATGTCAGGTAACCTCGCCAACTGCATTAGGTACTTCCCAACCCAGGCTCTCAACTTTGCATTTAAAGACCAGATCAAAGCCCTTTTCAAGCCAAATAGAACTGACTCTTATGCTGTGAAGTTCAGCAAGAACATTGCTTCTGGCGGTGCAGCTGGAGCTATGTCATTGTTCTTTGTGTACTCCCTTGACTACGCCCGAACTCGTCTGGCAAATGATGCTAAGTCAAAAGGGACTGAGCGCCAATTCAATGGCCTCATTGATGTTTACACAAAGACACTGAAGAGTGATGGCATTGTTGGACTCTACAGAGGCTTTGTGATATCTTGTGTGGGTATCATTGTGTATCGAGGTTTCTACTTTGGCTTGTACGACACCCTGAAGCCAATGCTGCTTGGAGATGATGCCTCACTGGTGCTCTCATTCCTTCTGGGTTATGGTGTGACTGTTAGCTCAGGCCTAGCTTCATACCCAATCGACACCATACGCCGACGCATGATGATGACATCTGGGCAGGCAGTAAAATACAAGGGCTCCATTGACTGTACCATCCAGATCTTGAAAAATGAAGGCTTCATGTCCTTGATGAAGGGTGCCGGAGCTAACGTCCTGCGTGGTATGGCTGGAGCTGGTGTGTTGGCTGGCTTTGACAAGCTTAAGGCAGTGTACGTGAGCTGGCGTTTTGATGACTAAGATCCTGATTTAGACACAGTTTCAACTGTTACAAGACTGAAATATCCTGCTTTGTAAAAGACACTTGGTTATCTCCTGGACAGTATCTAAACTACCACTGTGTAAAAATAATGCTGGACTGACACTTTGCAAGATAAGAGTTCATCTCATTTATTTGAAGATGTATATTTTCTAAAAAGTAAAGTCAAGTTAAAACTTGCATTTTGTCAGACCGGTTTCTGCACTTAATAATGACATGGTCAAGACTTAATAGACATGTTTTTTTTAAGTTTGTTTGGTGAGTGAGATAACCATTTGTAGGAGTACCAGTGGGTGCAATAAAAGTTAATGGAAGAAGTTGTTGTTTAAATCCTCAAAGGGGTTTTTCCTTTTGGAAAATTAATACTGTCATGCTTCCTATGTTGAGAATTTTCAATCAAGGTGATAAGTGAAGATCGTAGTTTCAAAACTCAATTTATAATTACACTTGACCAAACTGAAGCCAAAAATTTAATAAAAATATGAAAACAAGATTTGAAAAGAAAATTGCTTTGATCATGCCTGCTCGAGCAGTTGAGCCCTGATTGAAGAAGAGAAAACTGTTAAAAAATTTGAGGCCATGCAAGTCTATAAGTGAAATGAAATTCACTTTAAACTTATTTCGTTGATGAGCAAGAACTATGGACCGCCTCATTAAGAAGATATTTACAGACAAACTTTATCATTAATGATACATATATATTAAAACCTACTTTTTTGTTACCCAAGAAGCTACCGAGTATCCTCAGATGTCTTTTAAACTGGGTATCCTGTGCCACACATATAATCGAGGGAGGCCTGAACCCTAGGTTCCATTGTCTCACGCCACTAATAAACAAAAATGGCGGCTAAATTAGCGCTTTGCTGTTACTACAGTTCTATGCTCGAAGTATTTCTTGGAAAGTGTTTTGAGACTAATATTTGATAATGGTGAAACCTGCAGAGGATGAAAGGTTGACGTTTTTGCAAAGTGTTTTCTGTGGAGGAATTGCTGGCGTTCTTTCAAGAACCGTGACCTCTCCGCTCGAAGTTGTGAAAGTTTTATCTCAAGTTGGAACCCCAGAAACTCGTTTTGGTTTTTTGAGAACTTTTAATAGGATTTATCGTAGTGAGGGTTTAAAGGCCTTCTGGAAAGGAAATGGTATCTCTTGTCTACGGCTGGTTCCTTATAGTGCAATACAAATGGCTGCCTTCCACAACCTAGTAGTAAGCGATGGTACATTTTCAATGCTAAATGTTCCTATGATCACTTGTTCAAAGGAAACTGTAGGGAAAGATATAGGACATGGAAGGTGCAGAACCTCTTACCTAGGACCCCTTCCCCTTTTGTTCCCGAGAATTCCCCCCCTACCCTCAACACAAATAAACTCATACTGGTGTTTGCAGCCCAGCAGGTCATGATTTTTGACATTTGTGACCTAGAACAAGGTACCCATTTTAAATGGGTACTCTGAGATTTTAAGTACGTATAGTGGTCCCTCCCCTTTATGCGATCATCAATGTTTCATTTGAATGAAATGTGCTTTGACAATGAAAAAAAATTGTTTGAAATATTACCCAATTTTCAGGCAGTTTTAGATGATGCACACATGCCAAGTAATCTAAATGCTAAAAGTTGGATGGTAGCCGGTTCAGGGGGTAATCTAATTGCAGCGCTGTTGGTGTACCCAGCTGACATGCTTAAGACTCGACTTATTGTCCAGAATGTTAATCCTTCCTTATCAAACTATCATGGAATCATACATGGTTTTCGAAAAATCTGGAAAATGGAAGGATTTGTGGCATTATACAAAGGATTATTACCAACTTTTCTTGGTGAGTACTTGGATGTATAGACATGTGGCAGTGAAATTTGAACTTGCATGAAATTGAACTTGAATTTGTGGAATTTATCTAAAAAAATGAGAGTTCATCTTGAGTTGTGTTGCAATACAAAAGCTTTAGTATATTTACGGTTTGGTGAATTTGAAGTATATTGTGTTTCTTTTAAGGTGTGATTCCTTTTGCTGGAGGTTCATTTTTAGCGTATGAAATTCTTGACAGTTCAATTGCAATGTCTCCCAGTGATCTGACCCCAATGTATATGTTTGTCAGCGGATGTCTGGCTGCTGCTGTTGCCAAGGTGGTTTTTCTTTCTTACTTTTGTTGTATTTTACCAGAAAAAGATGAATTTAAAGTTTATATTATTGAGTGTACTTGAAAAATGTAAGAATTAGCAAGGATTAGTTGATGAACTCTCTTCATGCAGCCTAGTCCACGCAGTGAAGTTTTTTGGCAGATGTTTTCATCTGCCTTTTCAGCCACTGTGGTTATTTTTTATCCAACTGACCTTAAATGTTGATTGCTACTGATCTGAAATGTCGTCTTTTTTTTAATCAAATTTGTTCAATATTTTGTCTTTGGGAAAAAGCAGTAGTCACATATTTTGGTTTTGTTTTGCTCTGTACTCAAGTTTGAGTCCAAAGAACTTCCCTCCAACTTTAGATTCATGCATCTTGGTAAACTGTGACTTTTTTCATTATCAACACAAGCTTAATCACCTGTACATGTGCAATTTCATAAGTGATAAATATGTGACATTTATTTGTTTTTCAGACATTGTCATTTCCCTTTGACACAATTCGAAAGAAAATGCAGGTATATGTTTAAAGTGTTAAATTTCAGCCCAAATTCAGATTTGCAAAATACTTTTCAAACCAAGTAAAAATATGTTACCATAATCTAAACTAATATCCCTTTACCATGGAGGTTTAGAATTCCTTTTCATGTTCAAATTTCTTCAGGACCACACCTTTCTCTTTCACTATGATAATTAGGTAATTACGTGTTTTGAAATTTCAAACCTAAGCTATCAATTAAAATTTTTTCTGCATTTTGATGGTGAAGATAAAAAATTTTTAGAGTATATGGAGCGGCAGAATTCTTCTTTAACCCTTTATACCCTAATATCAGTATGCAGTTTCTCCATACTGTTCTCTATACATTTCCTTAAGTGCTGACAAGGAGAATTTGTTTAATAACAAGAGCTTTATAAGTTGTTGATCATTTCCTTGATTCTCACGATCTTAATGTTTGATTCTGGGGTGATAATGTAAGAAGAAATTAAAAGCTGGTCACTCTTAGGGTAAAAACATTTTCAGTAAGTGAGCAACTGCTTTTAATGCTGAAAATCACTTTTGAATTTGCGATGCATGTGAAGTCTTCTTTGTTTCTGACAGGCTCAAAGCAAAACTCTGCCAAATAATGGTGGTGTGGATGTTCAATTTAAAGGAATGACCGGTGCACTAGTTCAGACAGTGAAGGTAAATGGAATAACTGGCTTGTGGAGAGGTCTGTCAGCTAACTTGCTAAAGGTGAGGTATGGTAAAATTTCATGGTTCAGGTTGCCTTGTCTCTGGCTGTACTCATGACCTTATGGCACAGTTTTTCCCCATTCAGACCTCCTGCCCATTTAATGACATATATTATTAATATATAGCAAGGTAGTCCCTAAGTAAATCTGAGGGTTCCGATTTGGTTCTTATTTGGTCTGTATGTTTCCATACAGACTGTTTCCACAGAAATAGTCATGAGCAGTGTATTTTTAATAGCAAAAGCCAAAAAATTCAAAATAAACAAGTTTGCTCCAGGTGCCATATGACAAACTACTGACTAACCTTTTTAGCTTAAGTTGTACTGGTGTATAATAGCCCTTAGTTGTTTGTATATCGAGCTTGCTATGCTCAGTCCATGCTGCCACAACCTTAGGCCAACATTTCCCAGTACCGCTCTTGTGTCCAGTTAGTGAAAAGTTAGTATGATGTTAAGTCTGGGTGATCTGGTGTCCTACTGGTTGGTGCACAGGACACTAGGTCAGGGTATCTGGGTTCCAGTCCTACCTAGCTCATTGTGTTGGGATCTCTCTCCAACCAGGGGTATAAATGGGTGCCAAGGAACATTTTAGGGAAGCTTGATTCTGATACCCCCTTATGCTGGAGAATGACCTGTGATAGGCAAAAAACATGTGATGGACTAGTGGAAGAGGCAATACTCCAAGTCATATAGTAACATCACCTTTTTTTTAAACATTTTTTAGTTTTCCCTAACTACAACCAACTTCTTTTTGTCTAGATTGCTCCAAATGCTGGGATAATGTTCCTGTCCTTCGAATACAGCAAAAGAATATTTCTGTTCTACAATGGCTTCACTGAGTCACCATTTTCTCATGTTCCAAAACTTTACGTTGATCAGAGCATGTCACCAAATGAATTACGTCATCATGCTATGAAGAAGAAAGGGTACAATAGATGACACAGGACAGTAATTAAGAGCTCCAGAGTGGTTAGCCTGTGTTGGATAGTTTTGGTTGGAAAGAATTTCACTATTGCTAATCTTCTTATATGAAGATTCAAGTTTAGAAAGAAATTTCTCTCAATATGTTTTTTTTAGATTTTATGGTGATCTCAGAGAAATGTAACTGTCATGGAATACTCAGTTCAATTACAAAATTTATTTCATTGAGCACTATTTCACTTTCTGTTGACCAAAAAATATTGGTTGAGTAGTAGTAATATTTTATCTCTTTAATCTCCTTATACCACTTACAGAGTGATTTGCCATTTGAATAGAGGTACAATTCGGAAGAAGTTCCTTTCAGCCAACTATGCTAATCATAGATTCCAGTGTAGATGGAAAGTACCCTTCTACACTGGAATCACAGATTCCAGTATAGATGGAAAGTACCCTTTAATTTTTCAATTCTGGTCATCTAGTCACATCAGAAAAGTATCTGTCTTAGTGAACTTAGTCATCTAACTTTGAAATTTCTTTAGTTGAGTGTTGGTTTGGTCAAACAAAAATAAGGAGTGGAAACAATGTCTCTCATCTGCAACTCATTCCAGCTAGTTATGTTTTAATATTTTACTGAAATGAAAATATACCCTGGGGAGTATTGTCTGCCAATGGATAGTTGATTGATTTAAACTTGTGTTAATAAATGAAATTTTAAAATTCTAATTACTTCAAAACAGAAAAATTCCAGCCATAAGGCATAATGGGTATTGCAATAAAGGATGGTTGCAGCTTTAACATGTGTGTGCTTTCTTGGTGAGAATCTGACCACTTTGAGGACTAGTATCCAAACATTAAAAACCTGTCACATACAGAGCAAGCACTTCTGATTCACAATACAGCTTCTACCCATTAACCTATTAAGCTTTTAGATTGACTACCATTTAATTTTCCTGACATTATTTGTCTCGTCCCAAGCTTAATACAAGGGGTTTACTTTTGTTACAAAACAACTTGCATTCATGTACTGGCAGTGTAAGTATAAGCTTAGATCAATGGGGTTTACTTTTTTCAAGACAACTTGCATGTATGTAGTGCCACACACCAAAGCCAGCAACAAGACAACTTGCTTGCATGTAGCACCACATACTAAAGCCAGCCACAAGACAACTTGCATGTGTAGAACCACATACTAAAGCCAGCAACAAGACGACTTGCCTGCATGTAGCACCACATACTAAAGCCAGCAACAAGACAACTTGCTTGCATGTAGCACCACATACGAAAGCCAGCTCTTCCGACTCACAATACAGCTTTCCACCCATTAACCTATTAACCCAGCCTTAGATTGACTAACATTCAATTTCTCCTGACATTATCATCATAGAATCCAACAACATGATCATGAGAATTGAGAAAATAAATTTTTAGATTTTGAAACAAATTCTCCTTGTCAGTACCACAGGAAATTTATAGAGAATAGTATGCAGAGTTTGCATTCTGATGTTTGGATGTAAAGGGCAAAGCTAATGCTTTTCTCAGTTTAAAAATCTTATTCCACAGCTAAATTAAAGATGCTACTTGTCTTGTCATGTCAAGAAATTTGGAGAAGGGGTTACTTTTGTTGGAAGACAACTTGCATGCGTGTAGTGCCATAATCAACAGTGCAACTGCAAGGATATTAGTTTATTTCTGTGTATTTACACCACTTTTAACATAATGAATCTAGTCCATGACAAGCACAGAATATCCAAACAATCTAGGCCTTATTTCTAACAAAACAAAAAACAATAATTATGGAGCAATATTATACAAATCTCATTAATGTTAAAGTACTAAAAAGTTTACATTTATGATAGCCTACACCATATTATGTTGCTTCCGTTTGCAGAAACAATACTCTGCATCAACTGTTCAAAGTTGAGTTGGAAATTTTCTGCCTTTTCTATACATACTTTTGTTCTAATAAAAAAAAAGACACACACATACAAAAACAAACAAAGAAACCACCACAAGCAATTCACAAACAAAAAGGCCAGAGTAGAAAACAGAACAAAGAAATTAAGTTGACTGCCAGCTTTGCTCTACAATTGCAATGACTTTTTTCTCATATTCTCGTTTGTTTTCCTGGTAGAGTTGGGCAGCTAAGCTGTTCGCAGGACTATTTGGATTTGGCTCATCTAATAATGACTGCAAGATAAAAAGCACACAGACACATATTATGTATATAACACCCTTAAGGGCAGTGTTGACTTTCAGAGCTGTCATTAAGAGACAATACCTAGCCAAAACCAGCCTCTGGTCTGCTACCTTTGATTGGCTACTGTCACCTCACTGAACCAAAGTTGATGAAAAAATTATACAAGTGTTGAGATACTATTGAAGAAATTTACATGGCAGCCATTTACCAATTTTGAGCAGAAATAAATGAATGGCGATTGTGACAGTTAACCCTTTACCTCCCATGAGTGACTGAGGGAGAATTTCTCCTCACAACAATAATACAATATCAAGCAGAGAAGTGATGAGAATAAAATAAAATAAAAATTAGGGATAATTAATTGATCTAATACCAAATTCTTCAAATTGACATCATAAGAATTCTATGGCAGACAGTAAGGAGAAAGACTAACGAGATCTTGAGAGTTAAAGGGTTAAACAAAATGGCAGCCATTTTGTTTAGTTAACAGAAAAGCATTAAGACTTATTTATCTGGGACAGCTTTAAGTAAAGCTTTTCACTTTCAGGTACCATCTTAAAATAGTCCAGATTGTGTATTATTTATTTAAAAATCATTTACAATAGGACTGTATGTCACTTATGGGACACAAACCTGTACTGAAGTAAGAATTGCTGCAACATCATATGTGGGACTCCATCTGTTTTGAAGAATATCTAAGCAAATGCCTCCATCCGCATAAACTGAAAGATATGTCATTGACACACACGGTCAATAACTTTCACACTCTAAGGTCATTAAAAATACATTGACGATCTTATACGTGCAGTCTGAAGCCTGGATTGGGTGGTCTCAGTTCAAGTAGTGATATTATGTTCTTACAGGCTCAAAGGGAAAATTACAAGTTAAATATTGGGAGTTGAAAGGTCAAAGGTAATAAATACCTCTTGCCAACTGAGTTTGAGGTCCACATTGTAAGTTATGGACTGATTCATTTTATCTGCTCAGATTTATGGTCCAAATGCAAAGTGCACAGTCCATAAACCTGAGCAGAAAAAAGTTGGTTTGTAAGTTACAGTATGGACTCAGAAAACTGGGTTAGCAAGATATTTGTTTTATCTCTGGGTTCAAAGAGAGGGAGAAGATTTGAATTCAAACAATTCTTTTTCATTTAGTGGGCAACAAGTGAAATATGGCCCACTAAATAAACCAATCACAGTGCATGTACTAAATTTTGAGTGAAAACCATCATTACAGCCACTCAGATAATGACTTCTGCGCAGTTTGTCGGTTGTTGCTCACTGTTACTGTCAGTAGTCCTTTAAAGCACTATGCTAATCAAGATGATCAGCCTACACTATGAAATGTAAATTACTGGAAGCTACATTGTCAATGTACAGCATTGGTTGCCACAGACTAGCATTGATTGTCGCAGACCAGCATTGGCAAATTACATAAACTTACAACACACATGATGTAATACTACATTCATACATATTTACTATAGCATCTACTGATTGATAAGTGTTGTTTAAGAGTTAAAAAATAGGCTGAGGTTTGTCACTGATGAGGTACGTCATACGAATGTCTTATCATTTGTCTCACAATGTTAGAAACTCATGACGCAGATGAGTCATTAGCGCAAAAATGAAACTGCAACTGTACTCTTCTTTACAGTGCCATTTCTGTGCTAACCTCATATGTCACAATAGTATCACAGATTGTAAAAGTTAAATTTTTACAATACTGATGTTTCAATGATACAAAGGTAGTATTAGAAATGATCTAATAAAGTGTTCAGAGCCACCTTACATTTTGTAAAGGAAAACCAGTCTGTGTGGTCTGTTACGTCACTTGGTGAAATTTATTTAAGTCGTAAGATTGTTAATAAAAAAAAATACGACCAAAAATATGACCTGTTTACAGTCTCAACGAATTAATGACTACACGACCAACTCTGGAAGCGGGTCTAAGACTATAAAGCAACTCTTACCGTTGGGATGAAACATTTTTGAAATAAATTTAACAGTGGGTGCTTTATTTGGGTATTCTTCTGTGAATTCCATGGTTAGTCTAAAAGTTCCTGGCGAAAAAAAACGAGAATAATACGATAAGTAAAAACAAAATTGAAATTTTATCGTGTACAGGATGTAATATTGGGAGGAAAGCAAAACGGTTGGATTGAAAACAAACCTCCTTCAAACGGAGTGTCGTCTGGTCTGGGTAAGAAACAAAAGTAAAGCATTAGTGAGAAAAACTACTAGCCTGTCTCTGATGATTTGGCGAAATCATTCTAGTCTTCACTTACCCGAAAATCACCGCATTCCATAACATTATATTGTTTTCTGTCGGAGCACCGGTAACTCCAGTAGGGGGATCGTCTTGAAGTCTAGGAAATATCGAAAGAGATGAACCCACCGTCAACAAGGACACGTTCAACACGAAACCATCTTCACAACCAAATTTGCGGGAACAACTGGCCCGTGTGAAAAGAAAGACACTTAAGATAGCGAGAGAGGGTCCCTTACTTTTTAAAGTCTCTCATTAGACGTCTTCTAGCCGGGGTTGTCATACTAGATTTTGGTTGAATAACAACACAAAATTCACTGACTTGTAGTTCACTGGCTCACTGCAATTTGCGATCGAAGTAGCGAGACGTGTGACGTCATTTACCGTGTCATCGTCTTATGATGCAATTCAGTCCGCTGACCGGAATTGTAACTGGAAAAAAAAGTAACCGGAAGTTGTCTGTTTTTAACAGCTACTGAGTAGACATAATATTTGTTATTATTAAAGAGAGAGGACGATACCATGATCTCTTTTCAATGATTAAGATCTGAGTATATCTTCCAAACCTTGGTGCACTTTTTTTTTGCCATCTTTTCTTTCCCAGTTGGGAAACTTTCGCTCTGGGACACCTCTATGCCATTTTCGTTCAAATATTTATTTTTGGCTTTTGAAAAGAGAAGATACTTTATATCATCTCTTGCTTTTTAACAATTACCCTTTCTCTTTCCTGTCGTTTGACTTTCCTTCCTAAAATGAATTCGTATCATCACAGATCATTTACAGTAAACAAACATAGAAAAAAAATAATCATTCTTTTTTTTATTTTATTATGTAATGATCTTAAATTAAAATATTTATCTGGCGTTTTTAGTTAAATCAGTCAAAAGTTGCATATGACAGCCTAAACAGAAACACTTCAGGCAATAATTTCGGCTTCCATAATTTCAAAGGATGTAATCCGATCATAGGATGGCAAAAAGCAAGTTCTCTTCTTTTCTCAAATCGAAAACAATTTTAAAATAGTGGGAAATGAAGTCTGTTGAATTTGATTATTTATATACTTTTAAAAGCTGATGATGTGGGAGAAAATTCATACGAGTAGCTTTTATTAGTGCGACTTACCAAGATAGATCTATATTTGTCATTTCGAGATGAAAGACTGAAGAATAAATAGAAACTCTGAAAATCGCACAACGATAAGTAATTCACTGATGTGTAACTTTGATGCATCGTGGGACCTACCAAGTATTTTTTTCTGTCCGTCTGTCTACAATACTCTCTGGAAATTATTTTGAAGTTATCGCAATATTTCCCTCAAATCAACGCAGGTAATGCGTCTGCTTTTGCAAACAATATCTCTATTTAATTTATTTATCATTTTCAGAGACTGTGTAAAGTGCTTTCTGCATTTTCTCAAGCTGTGGCTCAGAGATAGAAAATAAGCGTAAAGTTCATAACAGGAAGAGAACCGAAGGGGAATTATTTTGATGATCTCTTGTTATTCCAATGAGCAGAATATTATAACCAGAGGAGCCAGCGTTTTATGATACAGCTTGAAGGCGCGACGCCAGTGCTTAAAATACCCGTTATTGTGGTCATTTGAGTCTCCCAAGCTGGTTAAGTCACGTGACCACGTCACGACAGGTGCAAGGTGTTGTACAGTTGCTGTTTACACGCGGGGAAAATCTATACAAATTTTAATTCAAAATAGCTTTTCTTAGCGTTTATAGCGAAATGAACGCGTTCAGGACAAGGAGCAAAAAGGGGAATAGAAATGGAGATCAAAGGAACTATATACGACGATTTCCATCTGATTCTGACCTTTACAGGAAAGTCTTGCACAAAAAAGCGATGTCGCATGCAAATCTGCATAAAAAGTTCGCTTCGTGTACTCAGTTAAACAAACTGCCGTCGTTTCAGCAGCATCAAAACTGCAAGGAATACAAATATGAAGAGAAGCTTACTAGCGAGCTAAACAGGTTTTATTCCCGTCGGGTCAGGAAGACAAGAGCTCAGGTCAAACGAAACAAGCAACTGGCTTTTTCTCTCGCGTTTAAAATGTTGATTAATGCACAAGTCGTTAACAATCGCTTTACCGTCGGGGAAATTCTACGTAATGGGGCAAATTATGGTGATATGGTGGAAATAGAAGGCGATCGCTTTGAATTTGGTATCCCTGTGTACCTTGATGAAAATGCAAGCTTTTCCATCCATCGCGCCGAAGAAGATGGCTTTGTGAGACTGCAACTTGATGATTGTGAAACTTGGCAAGATTGTCTTGACAACGATGGATTTCTATCAGCAAATCTTGTTAGGTCAAAACTTCACTTAACGATGAAAAACACTTTAAAATCTTTCAAAAATAACATCGAAGAAGGAAGCGATGAGTACCCAAGTGATGTCCAGAATGTGGAAGTTTTCTGCGAGGGTTCGACCATAGTTCTGCAAATAAAAGAGATAAGTGGATTCATAGCCGTAGAATTGATACCCACGATTGTAATATTACGGGAAAATTTGGAGTGGTGTCGGAGATTTTCCAAATCCGCTCCACCATCGTTTGTTGTCGGTAAAGCGTGTCCTCTGCCTTTAAGCGACCCAGAAACACTTTGGCAATTGTCATTTTTGTCAGCTGAAAAGAAGAAATTCTGCACTTTGGGTACAGCGAAATATTGCTTGTTTTTAACATTGGCTGAAATAAGAAGACGAGACCAAACTCTGCGAGAGTTATCACTGTACCATTTACAAACCGTTCTGTTCCTAGTTGGGGATGCGATCAATGATCCCATGAAATGGAGCAAGGATAAGATAGGCGAGCGTTTCTTGGATGTGCTTCGTTGTTTGGAGACATTTTTAGAAAATAAAAACTGTCCGCATTATTATATGCCGAACAACAATCTATTTGCGAGTATGAATGCCGTCACCATTGCTACTCTCAAGGACAGAGTGAGGAGAATGATGAAACCAACTTGCGTGGCTTGTGGTGTGGCGACAATTTGTAAAAGTGAC